GAATAGAAAGAACTTAAGTAATAGCTTAAGAATGACTGTAAGATGAGTCAGTCAAGAATCTTGGTTCAGAGGGGATGAACCAAGAATCTTGGTTCAGAGGGGAGGTGAGAAATGCCAGTAGGGGCCCTGTTTGCCTTCTTCCCCAGTTTGAGTTCCTATGGTGGTGGTGGTACTGAGGGGGACACATAGTACAACCCTCACGTGGATTTATGGGATCCAGGAACAGAGGCTATGAGTGCCTTTCTCTGGTTGAGCAGGTAGACAGAGAACAAGACCCCCAAGGAGACATTCCCCAGTGGATTAGGACAGCCTGACAGAACTGCAGCCCCATGTAGCAACTGTGGCAGGAAACACTGGTTGCTGCCCAGTATCCATCTCCTTCCTTCTAACAGAACTCCTTGGGGCAACAGCAAGAAAAGTATTTCCCAGCCTCCTTTGCAGCAAGGGGCAATGTGATACAGCTGTGGTCAAAGAATATAAAGCAGAAGTCACTGCATGGGATTCGCAGGAAAACTCTTTAAAGGGCAATTCTTCAGGGTTTTCATGTGCCCTTTTGCCCTCTCCCTTTCCTTCTTGCTAGCTGGAATGGCTGGAGCTGTGGCAACTACCCTGTGACCATTAGGTGGAATGCATAAGGCCAAAAGCCCTAGGTTAACATGAGGAAGCAAGATTGATGGCACCTGGGTGATGACATCATGGAAGCATTGCACCTCCCTGGGCTGCCTACCTCTGAATTTCTTGTAAAATGAGAAAAACAACCCTATCTTGTATATATAAGTGTTTGGAGGGCCACTGCCAAAAACATTTCTTAATAGATTCAGTGAGGAAACAACGGAATTATCCCTGGCATGTGAGAAGGCAAAGGAGTATGGGGCAAGAGCGAGGACTGAAGGCTGACTCAGCAGCCACCTGCAGGGGCAAAGGACAACGGGATGAGGGTGTCTCGGTGATGACAGTGAAGCCAGATTGTTGCCGCCCATCCCAAACACCTCAGCCTGCTGTAACCCCCAGGAAACTGGAAAAGAAATCTGAACTGATGAGCTTAAGTTTCTGCCACCAGGCACAATCAGGGCAAGGAGAAATTGGACTTGGCTATAAAGGAAAGAAGTCAATGTTTCTTACACACCTGAGTTGGGCCTGAGATTGTACATTACCTAAATAAATATGTATTAAGTGGAACTGGTAAACAGAACAGACCCTGAGGTCCCTGGGGACTGGAATGAGCTGGCAGACAGACTCCAGGGCCTGCGGTCCCCTGCCTTTCCCAGGCAGCTTTGAAGACCCTAAGACTGTAGTTTGGAAAAGTTTGGTTTGAGAGGGAAAAATCACAGGACTCCACTGGAGGAATCCTGAATAATACTTTTGATGTCCTCTCCAACCCCCTCCTCCCCTGGACCAGTCACCTGCCCATCTGCAGCCACACCAGAGGCCCCACCCCAGGCAGGATTATCCATCCTCCATCCCACCCCTCTTCCCAAGCCTGTGCCCTCAGCCCTTTGCCAAGACTTTGGCAACAGTGAAAGCAGTCACCAGTTACTGTAAGTGACACCACAACAAAAATGGCTCATGTTTACAGGTGCTGCAGGTCAGGGTGATGACAGGCCCTTTTCACGCCTAACACAACCCACCTAATCAGAGACGCAGAAGGGCTCAGCATTTGAACCCAGCATTTGTGGCTCCAGAGTCCCAGGTGAGCAGAAGCATGGAACGGCTGGGGACCCCAGCTCCCAGAGCTGCGGGCTGCTCTCTACCAGTTAGGCCAGGTTCTTTGCAACCCCAAACCTGGGAGGCCTTTCCTGAGCCTGCCCTGGGGGCTGAAGGTGAAACCTGAGGTCCAGCAGGGCCTCCACCAGAAGCCCATTCAGCAAAGAGGAGTACACCCCGAGCTCTGAGGTGGGGAGGAGACCAGATGCCTCCGGTTTGCTGTCCTCAGTGCTTCCTTCTCTTGATGAATTATTCATGTCCATGGCCAGGCGGCAGATCAATAATGCAGAAGGGAGAAACCCTGGCTGGGCCCAGCTTCCAGCTGACTGGCTCCACCCCTGCTCCAGGGAAGGACTGTCCGCAGCCCTCTGGCAGTGGGGCCACCTGGGCAGGCACATCCAGCTGTCCTCAGGGCTCCAGGCTGGGGGCGGGCTGCAAATATACCCCTGAAGGGGAACTGTTTACAACTGCTGTACCTCCTCCACCTGGAAGGCCCATGTGGCCATCAGCACAAAGGAGCCATGAGCACCTGAGGCAGCCCTGGGAGCAGGAGGTCCTGCCAGAGGACCAGGGCGCAAGACACGCCACAGCCTCTCAAGTCCCTTCCACCGGCCCTTCCTCCAGGGCTCAGCCTGGGGGTGGAGACCCAGGAGAACCAGGGAGTTTGTTTTGGTTGTGAGTAGAAACTTCCAAAGAAGCAGCACCTTTAAGACAGATGCTTAGCCTCCCCCCATCCCCAGCAGGTCCCAGCCCATCTGCACTGGGGGCCGGAGGCTGGAGGTGGGCGAGTCCAAGCTGCGCTGGGAACTGGACTTTGGGGGCACACCCACCCTGACCCTCTGGCTCCCTGCCCACTCCCCACGGAAACAGGCCCCCTCCTCCCCAGGCCACTGCTCCCTGGCAGGCACCCTGGACAGTGGGGTACCGACCTCTTCTGCCATGAGGCTCCCGGACTTATCCAGGGTTTCCCTCTTTGTCCTCTTTGCTTCTCAGTGTTACCTAGATTTTCTGTTTGTGATGTAGACCCTTGTAGTAAGAAAGGAAGGAAAGTGATGGTGATTTTTAGAGGGAAATACAAGAGCCACTGGAGGAGGTACACCTAAGGTGAGTCCCCCCAGAAAGCTGCTCCACTTACTTCAGGCATCTGGGCCAGCCCAGGCTCCCCAGTAAGTGCATGTGAGCTGCCTGGCCATCTTGTTAAAGGGCAGATACTCTTGAGTCATGAGGTCAGGGTGTGGCCTGAGTTTCTGCTTTTCTGCCCACTTGGGTGATGTCCAGGCTAGTGGTCCAGGGAGTAGCAAGGCCCTGTAGTCCAGTCCAACCTCAAATGACCATTGAGATCACCTGAAAAGCTTTTAAATATCCAGCTGCCCCAGCCGCACCCCAAACCACTTAAACCAGATTCTCTAGGTGTGGCAGCCAGACGTCAGCATTTCCCAAAGCTCCCGGCTGATTCCAGTGTGTATCCAGGATCGAGAAGCCTGCTCCAGACCAGCTCAGTTCACTCCTTTATCTGAGAAGACTGAGACCCAGGGAGAGGATGGGGCCTGCCCAGGATGGTGCTGCCAATGCGTGAAAGCCTTGGGGACCGGGCCAAAGAGCTTTCCTGGGCACACGGGGTTGTCTCCCATCATGTGTCAGGAAGTGGGGAGGAGGCAGGCAAGTCTGGGGGCGAGGGTAGCAGGGACTCAAGGGTCAAACGGAGTTGCCTACAACCTCCCAGATTCTGGGATGCTGTCCAGGTGGGGCCAAGCTATGCCCCTTATGGGTATCCAGCTTTGAGGGTTCAGTAAGAGTACACTGGGCTTCCAGCAGCCCTGTGGGTATGCAGAGCAGATTATGATCCCATTTACAGATGGGCAGTGTAGGTTCAGAGTGGCCAGGCCACTTGTCCCAGGGCATAGCCATCTGCTATTTGAGACCTCCTGCATTGTAGAAGTGCCAACTTTTCCCTCACTGATTCTAAGACACATATACCCCCTTCCCCTGTTTTAAAGTTTTTTAAATTGGGTTATGTCTGACAAATGGTGCCAAAGAATCATTCAGGCCAGCAAGGCAGGCAGTAAGTGATGTGATTGTTCCTGGCAGGGCCCATGTATAGAAGGTATCTGGTTACCTGAGTGTTATTAAATTGGTAGCATTACACTGGTAATAAATAAAGCACCGTTCTAACTTGGGCAATGCTGTGAATGACTTTGGGAAGATTATGAGAGGCTCCTGTGAGGGCTGCCTCAGGCTCCCGGCTCCCCTTCCTTCCAGAGCTGCTCCTTTAGGTCAAAGATTATAAGGCCTTTTTTTTCATCTTTGTGTCCTCAGAGTCCTGGGACCTAGTAGGTGCTTGGTACAAGTTTGTGGAAAAAGAGACGGAGGGGGCCCAGCCCCAGAGTCCCTCTGGGAAGCCTCCCCTCCCGTCCAGGCAAAGCTTACTGACCCCTTTTTGGCTGTCAGTGAGCACCCACCCAAGCCATGGTCTGAACGGTCCATGTGCTCCAAATTCTAACCCTCCAGGTGATGTGTTAGGAGATGGGGCCTTAGGGAGGTGTTTAGGTCATGAGGGAATTAGAGCCCTCATGAATGGGATTAGCGCCCTTATAAAAGAGACCCAAATTGGGGAGGAGGGGGGAAAGAGGGGGGTAGGTGTGCTCCTCTCCTCCCACCTTGGCCTGCCCTCCTGGGGCCCTCACCACCTTCCACAGGAAAGCAATGCCTGCCTGCTCCCTCCTGCAGTCCGGGCATGGATTCCTCCTCCCACTTTCCCTGCCCTTACCCGCCCCACACCAACTCTGGTCCTGCTTCCAAAGGGCTTCCCTTTCTGGGCAGCAAAGCATGGCGGCAAGAAGCCAACTTTAAGGTTAGCCCCAGTATCTTCTGTGGGCCAGGTATGGTGTGACCTGGGACAAGCCCCTGAGCCTCCGTTTACTGATCTGAACCCAGGATAGCACTAGCAACCCCCTAGGATGTACCAGCATCTGTAAAATGCCCAGCATGTGCCAGGATGTCAGCACCTTTGGTTCCTGCCCCCTTTCTTTCCACCCCTGAGATCTTTGTTTATGTGCAGAAGGGACAGCTGAGGGCAGATGGGACCGGCATTGCTCACTGAGGAAACTGAAGCACTGAGAGGACAAACGACCTGCTTCAGATGTCGGGGGCAGCGGGGGGGTAGGTGCAGAGGGTGTTGGTGCCCAAGCTGGCTGTGGAGCCCCAGCACCCAGCTCCTGGCCCTGCCCCTGGAATGAGGGTGAGTGAACAGCCCACAGTTGTGAGGTGCCCCTGGACCCCAGCAGCTAACACCCAGATATGCGTTCACCTTTATTTCTTTCCATGCTGAGAAATACAGAGAAGTGAACTGTGAGTGGTGCAGGCAGTGGGGAGGGGTAGTTCTTGCTGCTCGGAAACAGATGGAGAGGCTGGGGAGGCACCCTGAGATGAGCTGGGGCCTGCCACAGTCCTGCAGCCAGCAGCTGGCCCCACCACAGAGCTGGGAGGCAGGGCCACTGCCAGCTGCAGCGAGGCACGGGTGCGGGCCCTCTCGCCCAGTCCGGTCTCCAAAGGGTTTCAGGTCCTCAGGCCCTGTGCTCCTCTCTGTCAGAGGTCAGTCTCTTGGTGCTCTGCTCCTTTTGGAGCCTCGGAGCCTCGGAGGCGTCTGAGTTCATCCTTGTTATGACTAGAAAACTCTGAAGTCCTTGTCACCTGGATGGAAGGCTGTTCCAGCCATGCCTGTTCCTGTGGCCTCTGCTGGTGGCATTTCTCTTGACTGAACTTGGTTTAAGTGTGAACAAATGTGTGTACGTGTGGGAGCGCACAGCGGTGTCTGTGTGGATGTGGCTGCCGGGGCCAGGGCAGCTGTGTGTGGCATCCTGTGCACACGGAGGCCGCAGATAGAGCCTCCCTCGGCCGTCATGTCCCCCATGAGACCATTTGTGTACTGTCTGCTTAGTTGCTTACTTCTCCTTGGGGCGCTGAAGCCGTGGTCCCCTGGGCCTGCCGGGTCACTGACCAGGTCACGACTCTTCTTGCCAGAGCCAGGGCCTGTGAATGACCAGTTCCATAGAGCTCATGACTCCCCTGGCCTGACCTGACCTCACAGGTGACACAAGTGTTCTGGGCTCTTCCCCACACACCGGCAAACCAGGGCATTTCTATTTTGACCTCAAAGGGCCCATAAAGGAAACCCAGCCAAGGCCCCTCCTTTAGGGTTGGGAGAGGTTAGGGTTATTCCCAGGTGGGGGACTGACGCAGGCATGTGCCTGCCCTAGAGGGACCCACCCGGTGCCCCTGGGACCCGTCCCTCTCCTGAACACCGAACACTTCAGCCAAATTCTTCCTTCTGCTCGGAACTCTCTAGACCCAATAAACAACCAACCTTCCTAAAAGCTCTGCAGCCCACTCCCCTGCCAGTGCTACAACACTGCTGACAGCCCGGGAGCCCACGGAAAGTTCTCCCAGTGGTCACCCCAAAACTTCTTCCAGGGAGAGCCTTTGCTGCTCGTGGGTGGCCAGGGGGCCCAGGGTGAGGCACCAAGCATCGCTGGGAGCCACAGCCTGGGCCCTGCCAGAGCCATCTGCATGGGGCCCCAGGCTTATACCGCACACCCTGGGGAACCCATGGCAGGAGGAGAGCTGAGGCCAAGGCCCCCTCTCACTGGCTGGGCAGGACTACGGGCCGGTGCCCCAGGCTACAGCACAGGGAGGCTGGCAGTGAGAGGCAGGCTGGGTCCTCCTGGAGGGTGTGCTGGGGCCAGAGTTCTCAGCAGAGATGCTGCCAAAACACAACAGTGAAGAGGTCTGTGGGCCATGCGCCTCTGTTCCTGTCTTCACCTCTTGGTGTGTCCACCCTGTGAAGGAAGTGGCTGTGTCACCTCTCTCCCGGGCAGCTGCACATCTGGGGCACCCAGGAGATTCCAGGGCACATGCTGAGCAGCAGTGTGGCCTTCAAGCTCAGGGCACTGGGGTCGCAGCAGGCATGTGGCACAAAGCATGCAAGTAAGTTCTTTTTGTCCCCTGTCAAGAAAAATACAAAAATCCACATGTGTCCTGGTCATCAGACACACAGGCAGTGGGCTGCTTCTCCCCCCACCAGTGTTCATCTCAACTGCGAGGCTGGTTCTCCGCATTCTGGCAGTATATGCTGTTTTGGTAGATCCCAGGAAATTGTGGGGATGAGGAACAAGCCAGACCCTGGGATCAAAATGCTGGGCCATGTCCACGAGATTAAACCACAGTCTTCATTGGTTTCACATCTCTTCCCTTCGTTCCTTCGTCCTCTCGCTATTCTCATCTGCTGTGGGGCTACTTAGGGGTTTCCCTCTGATTTGTGCTTCTGGAGCTTGGGGACAAGTGGGCACTTGGTGGTCACCGTTCCGTCGTCTCGGGGCGTGTGGGGTATGTGACTTCGAAGCTCTCCAGTCAGCCGGGCCTGCCTCTGCTAGCACAGCGCCTGGCTCATTTTATATCTTCTGAACTGTGAAGGAAAGAACAGTTACAGCAGAACAGAGCTCAGGACGTGGGGTCTCCGGTCCACGTCTTGAGGATTTGGGCTGCTGTTTCTGAGTGGGAAACGGTAACAGGGACAGTTTGATTTGGGGCCCTTGGCGTCACTGCACTGCCCATAGGAGGTCTGCAGCCTGGGTGATTGCTCAGAGGTAGACGGGTGACCTGGAACACAGAACCATCTGTGCCTGAATTTTTTAGTGAAAGCTGAACAATTCCCTTTGCCAGTGTGAGTTCAGCAGTTGTCATTTGCCGTCAAAAGAGTCAGAGCTGCAATGACAAATAGCAGCAGGACAGGGGAGCCTGAGGCACTGTGAGGCGAGGGTATGGCAAATGCCCTGTGCCGGCAGTCTCCTCTCTTGGACCTGCAGTTCTGTCAGAGAGAGAGATTCTGGAATGTGCTTCAATTCAGCAGACAGAAAGTGAAGGATGTGAATTTTGAACTCAGGCAGGCTGAATATGAACCTGCACTCACCCCTCTCCTAAGTAGCCAAGGTTACCCATGACCCTTGGCTGAATTCCAGGTTTTCCGCCCCAGGTTGAACTCTCCATGTGCTAGACCAGTGCCTCCCAAGCTTTACAGACTGGACTAGGAATCATATTAAAATCATTTTAAAATCTGATTCAGTGGGTATGGGGTAGGGCCTGAGAACCTGCATTTCTGACACATTCTTAGTGTCCGAAGGCACTGCATCTGGTCCACAGAGTGCATTTGGAGTAGCAAGTGCTTTAGGGGAAATGTTTAGGTTGATCCCTGCAAGGGGCAGAGAAGCCTGGGGCCTTCCCAAGGCGAGTGTGTGAGGGGAGGGACTTGGACAACACTGACCTGTGTATGTAGCCCAGAAACTCACAAAGCTGCATGGGCCTTGTGAGCAACAGAGAGTTGTCTTTGAAAATGGTCTCCCTGCTGGGTAACTTCCCTGAGCCACCTTTGGGGACTCACCAAAGTGTCACTTTCTGAATTCCCCCGCATGTGCCATTTGCCTCTGGTCTGTCGGCTCTCTCAGCAGGGATGCTGGTGGGGCAAGCTGCCCACCCTCTTCACAAAGCAGAACCACGTGCATTGTCTCAGGTGATGCTCACAAAGCCTCTGTGCTGGAGGCTTCTTCCTACCACTTTAGACATGAAAACCCTGAGGCTAAACCTCAACAGCACACTGGCTTAGGACCCAGAGCCGTCAGAACTGAGACTGGAACTCATGGCCTCTGACTCCTAGGCCCATGCTCTTTCCTCACCATTTCCTATCCATCCACTCTCCAGGCACAAGACGAGTCAGAAAGCCAGTCCCACTCAGCAAGTTACTGCTGGGCACTGGGTCCCTTTTCTGGAATGACAGGATAAGGCTGTGGCCCCATGGCTCTTATGCCCACCCCTGACCCAGGGGTGCAGGCTACACCCTGCCATGGTTCTCATACCAAGCAGGCCGGCTCCCTCGGATCCATGTGGCTCGGCCTCACCTGTGAAGTTCACGGTCACAGCCACAATGATGATGATGATCCCCATGATGATGAAGGTGATGCTGAGCAGCCGGGCCAGGCGGCCCAGCCTTCGGGCCCCGTCCAGGTCTCCCTGCTGCACGCTACTTCGAGACTGCAGAGAGAGGGTGGCAGGGACCTCAGGAAGACTGCCCTTGGTAGCCTTGCGGGGGTGCCTTGCCTGAGCCTCTGGAACACATCCAGTCCCCACTGCAGCCTCCAGAGTGCCCCTTGGGGTGGGGAAGTAGCCCCTTCCTGGAGAAGTGGCCTGGACCCAAGTGGCCAACACCTCTTATGGGGACCCCTAACCAAGCCTGTCCCTCTCTGGCTGGGGCCAGCTGGAAGCAGAGCCAAGCAATGCAGGGCCCTTCCTCTCAGGACGGTGATGGGACAGGGGCCAGTGGCAGGTGGCATAGCAGAGACTGAGGGCCTGGGAGGTTCTGCCCATGCTGAGCTGGCAGGACAGATAAGCCAGGTGCCTCCAGACCCCAGCTCAAGGCTCACTACGACAGCCGCACTAAGGAAAAAGTATCATTAGTCCTCCCTCCCCGTACTTCCCACCCAGGAACCACATCCCCCAGAAAGGTGGGCATCTTGGGTTTGAATTGGGAAGGCTGGGGCTGGAGGGGGAGCCACACATGGCCACACAGGGGCCCGATTTGATATTTCTTTCTTTCTCAGTGCGCTCAGTTTCTCTTGGCCCTATTTAATTTTTTGAAATCCGGTGCATGAGCATGAGGTGGACAGAGGACATAAGCCAGAGGATCCTGGGTGGCTCAGTAGGAGGGGCATCCCGTGCATTGCTCTGCCCCCTGCCCATGACGGTTCAGGCATCAGCCTGCAGGCCACAGCTGGCCTGTGACTTCCAGATTCCTCCAGTTCTAGAATTCCCCGATGCTTCTTAGGCACAGGCAGGAGTCCACTAAAGAAAGGTGACTGCACTCAGGGCCTCAGGCCACTGATCTGGTTACTTTTTTTTTCTGATTATCATTATTTCCTGAGTTCAACATGGGAATGTAGTTGAGTACTTTGATGATGATGATTTCCTGAGTCCTTACTTTGTGTCAACCAGCTTGCTAAGGACTGTACCTAAATGATTGCATTTAGCCTCAGATTCATCCTATGAGGTTGGCAGTGTTGCCCACTTTTAAAGAAGCTGAAGTGCAGAGAAGCAGCCCTTCCCTTCTCTGTTCTCTTCATGCGAGTGGCCCCTCTCCCCTGACCCTGTCCTCTTTACCTCTTAGAAGTCTAACCCCCCACCCATTCCCACCACCACATTCTCACTCCCACCCCATGGTTCTGTTCCAAGCTCCTTCCGGGACAGCGCCACCTGCCTGCCACAGCATGACATCAACTCACTTTGCCGCAAACCATAGCTTCCTACTTCACAGATCTGATTCTGGCCTGTGCCCCTCCTTCCACTTGCCCAAGCCCACCCCACCCTATTAATCAGTGTCCTCTTCTAGTCAATTCCACTGCAACTCTCTAGCCACTTGCATCTGCCCTAGTTCCAGGTGCCACTTCCCACTCAACAGACATGCATGCATGCCAGGCACTGTTCTAGGCCCCCAGGATGCAGCAGGGTGCAAGAGCACCCAGTTCCCATGCTCACTGAGCCCTCAGCCTAGGTGGGGAAGCTGGCCTCCATTGTGGCCACATAAACAGGTAAAATTGCCACTCTGGGTAGTGTTACAAAGGAGAGGTTCATGAGAGCTTGTATAAGGGGAGAGTCAGGGAAGACTTCATGGAGGAAGGACATCTGGAATGAGATGTGAAGTATAAGTAAGAATTAAATAGGCCTTTTCCAAAAATGACAAGTACTCCAAGCAGTGAGAGCAGCATATACAAAGGTCCACAGGGAGGCCCTGCGTGGCAACTATGTAGAGTCATGAATGACATAAGGGCAGTAGGCTCCACAGGAAAGAGAGCCAACATCTGGGCTTTGGCCCCCCCCCACTAACCCATGCCACCTCCAGCTCTCTGCACTGCCAGCCCAGGTCACTGAACTCATAGCTTCAACACCAAGGCAACACTGGGGCAGCAGACGGAAAAACTTCAGGGGCTTTCAGGGCGTTGGCTTTATGATTTTCTGGGGCTACCTGAATCATTACCAAGGGACTCATTCTCAGCTATAAGCGTGGCGTACAAGGGGGGCGGTGCAAAGTATGAGAGGAATCCTGCTGGCTTTCTGAAGAGAATAGTGGTGAGTGCGGTAATGATCAGGACCATGGAGAGGGGCACGGGTGCAGGTATGAGAGGTGGGGAGGGCAGGTGAGGGAGAGAATGTTTCAGTCACCCTAAACCCTCCCTCTCTTCTTTATCCACAGATCCACCAGTCTGTGCATCCTGGCCATGCACATTCCCTGAATCCTGAGAGACACTGTTGAAGGCTTAGATGCAGTGAGAATGGTCAGATGGCACTGCTGTGTCAGACACTTTATTCACACTATCCAGTGAAACCTCACAACTATTCCGTAAGTCTTAGTTTTCTGATCTGTAAAATAGAAAGTAGCTGCCTCTAAGAATAGAGCTCTACTTTTAGATACAGAAGTTGCTCACCCATTAGTTACCAAATGAAAGATCCATTCCTTGCTTCCAGGGGTGGAAGAAGGCCCTCATTTCTTTTTATGTCAGTGGCCAGCTGCTCTCCCGTCACACTCATCTTTCCCCTACCCAAAAGGGCTCAGGTTGAAGGCACAATAATAATAATTGCAGTAATGGTTGTAATGGCTGTGAATTAATAGATCATTTGTGATCGCGGCACTGTGGGAATGGTGAGGGAGAAAATGAATTCAAGTTAATACATCAGTAAGGAAAGACACTGAAGAAAACCTGAGAGTGGGGAGTGGGTGGGGAGTAGGGTGATGGGGTGGGGAGGACGCTGGGGAGAGCTGCCAGAGGCTGGGACCAGCCAGAGGAGGGGGGCAGCAGGACTTCTCAGGAAAGAGCTTCCTGCACCCGTGAGGCTCAGGCCAAGCCCCAGCAGATCTGAAAACTGACAATATGTGCCAAGGCTGATCAGCTCTTAGTCCTTCCACAGGGCGCAAGCCTCTCCCAGCAGGTCAAAGTGAGGGGATGTACTTCTCCACACCCTCTTTACATCCCTCTTTCTGCAACAATGCAGTTGTTTCTGGAATGCTCTAAGGTTAACCCTTCAGTCGCTGGAGAGTGGGAGACACAGTGGCAGGGGTGGGGGCTGGGGTTCCAGGGGAGGAATCAAGGCAGCTGCAGTGGTGGATGGGAATGATTGGGAACACTTAGGGTCTTGAAACAGCAGCTATTTACCGACCCCCTCCGAAGTACGTCAATATTTTAAGCCATTTGCCTGCATGCCAGCTAACTGTTGGCCCTGGCTGAGCATCTGCCCTTTCTTCTGACATTGCAAAGTTTAATATTAATGATAACAGCAACTACTTCCACTAACTAAGCGTTTACCATGTGCCAGGCTCCACACTACATGCTTTCACACATATTAGCTCATTTAATCCTCCCAACAGCCCTATGAGGTAGATGGCTTTATTACATCTATTTCACAGATGAGGAAACAGGCTAAGGAAAAAGGCCAAGTGATGTGGCCAGAGTCATGTGGCTTACAAGGGGTAGAGCTGGGATGTACGCCAGGTCTACCTGACAACTGTTCTATCACTGTTGTCAGCTGAAGGTCTGCTGCATGGGGTCCAGCTCCCCTCATTGACAGGACACTTTGCTGGCACTGAGGAACATGGCTATTTCCTAGCCTGCCCGGAAGTAGAATGGATGCAGTCAGCCTTGCCTTGGCCACCCCGGAGGCTCACGGGAGGCCATGGTCCTGAGCAGGGCTGTGATCAGAGCCCCTTAGGCAGAGCCCTTGATCCACCAGCCCCAGTCACAGCAGGCCCCTGCCAAAGCCCCAGTGGGAGGGCACTGCTGGTCCATTAGTTTTCCAGGGTGGGGTGGGGGAAGACAGTAGGTGGAAGGAGGGGACAAAGAGGGAAGGAAGTGGAATTCTTCCCTCCTGCTCAAATGCCTGAAGGGCTTAGCTTTCCTGGGAGGGACACACCATCCTTGTCCCCAGAGGTAGGTGCAGGGTGGGGCCATGGAGAGAACAGTGGGTTCAGCATCCAGCCGGTGTACCTCCTATGAATTGTGTGATGGTGGGCAAGGCGCAGTCTGTGTCAGTTGCCTCCTCCGTTAATGGGAACAGTCAGGCTGTTAGGGTGTGCTCTGCAGACAGTAAGCTCTAGAGAGGCGCTCTAGGCTGTGGGTCCCTTCTACCCTGGAGTCAAGGGTTTGCTCCTCCACTTAGTAACCGACGGGACTTCAGATGAGGAGTTGTACACTCTGTCCCCAGGACCTGGAGACACCAGCACAGGAGACTTGCTCTCCACAGTCTGTCCCTCCTTCATCCCTGCTGCTGTTTAGGGGGGACAGAGTGTTTCTGTCCTGGATGAATAGCTGACCCCCACCCCAGGGCAGTGGGAGTGTCCTGTGAATGAGACTGGCTCCCAGAAGAGGGGAGACAGCTGTGGGGACACCCAGTAATTCCCCACCTGCTTCCCAGGAGGCAGGCTAGTTGTAATTGGTAGGGACCTGAGCTCTGGCTCTAAGCATCCAATTTTGGGTTCCCAGTTTCTAGCAGGTTATTTCACATCTCCATGCTCCAGTTTTCTCATCATCGGTAAAACAAGAATAATTACAATACCTAGACCTCATAGGGTTATAGCCCAGAGTAAATGAGATAATACATGTAAAGAATGTGGACCTGTGCCTAACATTTAGTGGGCATGCCATGCGTTAGTAATATTATCCCTCAACACTGGGCTCCCTCAGCTTCCTTCTTCCTGGCTCCTAACGGTCAGCTGTACTCCACAGCTACCCTCCAGCTCCACCATCAGCCGACCCAGTCCCTGCTCTGAAATCTCCAGCCCCAGTGTCTGTCAGAGTGCCTGCCCTTCAACCTGTCTAAACCCCAACCTGTGACACCTCCAACCTAAGGCTGTCGCCATCTTCCCAGCTTCTTCCCACCAGCCTCACGCCCTCCTAGTCCAGCTCACTTTCTGGTTGTCGTCTCAGTCACCCTTGCCAGCATCTTCTGTGCCACCTGGACCTGCCCTTAAGGCAACTCTGCCATCCCCAGCCTTGGGGTGGAGCCAGTGTCATGTCTGTGACTCTATACCTGCAGCTGGAGAAAAACCACACCACGTGCAGGCTGATAACTCAGACCCATGCAGCCTCGGCAGAGCCCCCCAGCCACTGACCTGTTTGTTCCTGGTCTCCTCTCCTCCCCTCTGCCACCAGGCCCTTATTTCTCAGAAAATGACCTTGCCCCCCAAATCCCTGGGGGCAGGGGGCCCACACTGCATAAGCCATCTCCCTTTCCTTTGAATGTTTCCATCTCATGGCCTTAGGCTTTCTGCCTAAGCCTCTCCACCACCAGGCGCACCAGGGGTCTATAAACAGCCAAGCCAGTGGACACTCCCATCTTTGTCGAACCCCATCTCCACTGCAAGTGGCCACTTCCTCCTTCTCCACACTTACTCCTCCTTGGGTGTCTCTCCCTCTTCTAGTTTTCCTCCCACCCTCTGGAATCTTCTTTCCCAAACCCTTTACTGTCCACTTTCTTCTGCCCACGCCTTCAGCGCTATAGTTTCAGAGCGCTGTCTAAGGCGGGTCCCCCTTAGAGAGCAAGTGCTGCTCCCACGTCCTTCACGGTTCTCATGTGCGCTCCCTTCTAAGCGTCCCCCCCACCGGCTCAGTCCAGGCTTACCTGGTCCCCGCCGGGACTCTCTCACAAGGCTCTGGCAGGACCTCTCCGCCCCCAGTCCTGCCTGCTCTCCTCATTTCCCACAATGCAGTCGGGTGCTTGTTTTAAACTATGAGCTGAGCACATTGAGCATCTGCTTAAAATTTTTCAGGAGCATCTCAGAGCCACGAGGATAAAACTTAAATTCCTAGAGCAGGTCCTCATCCACCTCCGGCCACCACCACACTCTGTGGCCAAACAGACAGTGTTGTATCTCCCTACTCCCAAATGCCTTGCAGGGTGTCTGGTTCATAAAAGAGGCACATTCATTTGTGGGGGACCTAATCATCTTCTATTATTTCCCTCAAAACAAGCAACTTGGAGTTCAAGTGAATGGTCAACTGAATGAATGAATGGTACGTGTTAACCAGAACTCCTGCAAAAGTCCCCTCCCTCCAATGCCAGGCGCAGAGGAGCCCATCCAGCCCGTCCTCACAGCCTGCACCAGTGATCCAGCAAAATGGCAATCCAACCACACCCCTCTCTGGCTCCAAACCTGGTGATGCATACGCCATAGCATGAGTGAAGCTTGGAAACCGGGTGCCAAGTGAAAGGACCACACGCGGTATAATTACATTTATAAGAAATGTCCAGAGAGGCAAGTCCATAAAGACAGAAAGAAGATTCCTAGTTTGCTTAGGTCTGGAGGGACTGGGGGGCGGGAGGTGGGGGTAGAAAAACAGTACAGGGTTCCTTTCGGAAGGGAGAAAAATATTCTAAGATTGACATGGTTATGGTCGCAATTATCTGTGAATGTACTAAAAATCACTGACTTGTATACTTTAGATAAGTGAACTGTATGATAAGTGACTTAGTTTCAAAGCTCTGAAAAACACCACAAACCTGGGATGGCTTCCCATCCCCCGCCAAGGAGACACTGAGCTGCCACTTAATTGCTGTTACCAGATAAGAGCACCTAAATGTGCTGGGTGTTGTCCTTTTAAGCTCTTCATGGGGCTTGTCTCCTTTCGCCCTCACACAACTCTACACTGTTATGGTGGCACTCATTTAGCAGATGGGAACGCTGAGAGGGGAGGTTTGAGGGACTCGCCCGCAACCACACACAATACCTTGCGGTTTTGCCCAGCATGAGCGCATCCTGCCACGTGTTGTACAGGTCTGTTTACAGGTTTCTCCACCTGAGGCAGGAGGCTACTGGGAACTGGCCACGGTGCCTGGTTGCGCACCATATTCCCTGCCCCAGGCCCAGTGCCCATCAGACCTGACTCAAAGCCCCAAGGAAGACATAGAGGTGCATTGCGGGTGGGTTCAGCGGGCTCACAGGCGTGGGCCTGGGTTGCCTTTGACAAGGCAGCTCCTAACTCCTCCCCTGCCACCCCTACCAGGGAGCAGATTCTAGCAACTCCTTTCTCCTGGGGCCTTGTGTGGCTTCCCTCCCCAAAGCCTGTCTCCCCTCCTGGGGCTTCTCCCTGTATCCAAGAGGTTGGCCCTGCCCAGAGCCGCTGGCTGCACCCTCAGGCCTGGTGCTGCGCCCAGTGCACGTGCGGCACGGGATGCTCCCTGACAGCCCTGCTCTGAGCCCTGCCCAGGCCTGGCTCTCGTGCCCAACTAGTCCTTTGGACTCGGATGCTGCTGGTGTCCCCTGATGTCCTGGTAGGTGGTGCTGGATAGAATGGGATCAGAGAAGGCTTCCTTGGCTGGAGACTGGGCCTCAGTGAAGTGGAGGGAGATGGATGAGGAACTGGGGGGCAGCAGGAGTCAGCAGAGCCCCTGGGGCCTTGGTGATAAATGACTTGGCAGTGGAGGCGCTCCAGAGGGAAGCAGACATGTCTCTCCACCCAGTCCTCTGACCAGCCTGGGGCTAGCAGTTTACCCCCTGTTCCTAACCTGATTCTGATTCATTGCCTGCCCAGTGTCTCAGTGTCTCTCTCTCTCTCTCTCTCTCTCTCTCTCTCTCTCTCTCTCTCTCTCTCTCTCTCTCTTAGTCTGCCCCCAACCTTCCTGGTCCTCAAAGTCACTTGCCACTTAAACTGACATTTCCTGCTTACCCTCCATAAGTAGCTCTATCCAAATGGTTTGGTTTGGGGACAATCTAAGACAATTTATTCAAAACCCCACAGCAGAAGTGTGCAAGAAGCAAAGGCTAGCCCACATGCCCCTCCTTGGCAAGGCCAGCCATGCCCTCTGACACACATTTTTCACCCATGGCCCAGACCTCCCTACCCTGAAGACAGATGCTGAAATCAGGACAACCACGGAGGCCCAGAGGGCCCCAGGGAATACACTTCCCAGAAGAGCAGCCTCTGGGGCCCTCAGTGCATGGAAACCAGAGCTGGCAAAGGCCGTTAGAACCCCCAGGTGGCCTGGGGCAGGTGGGGGGCTGGCTCCCCTCTTGGGAACATAGGGCACTGGGAACCCATGCCCACTGCAGCCTCTGCTGGTACACAGTCTGGTTCAGGAATAACTCCTGGGGACAACTGCCCCCTTAAAGACAAGCCCCCCCAACTTTCTGCAGTGCAGAATTCAGCTCCAGGCAGCTCCCTAGGTCCTCTCCCCGGCAGGGATGTGTGCAAAGTCAATCTGTGACACCCAGGAGCAGAGAAGAAGGACCCCTCTCCAAGCGGGGCAGTAGGCCAGCTGAGAAAGGAAGTCTTCCCCCAAGCCCCAGCACCCAGCTCGCTTTTCTCTCCACCCTAGGCAGGGTGTCTGTTGCCTGCCAGGGGAACATGCCTGACAACCCCTGGGCCCAGCACTTACCATGATAGAAAAGATGAGGGGGATGAGGTTGAGGGGCCAGACAGGGCAGAAGCAGGAGGCGATGGCAAGGATGAGGTAATCTCGGGGGACTTCTTGGTCCTGAGCACAGGATGTGGTGGCAATGGAAGATGCCCGTCTTGAGCTGTCCCGAGAGGGTGACACAGAGAGTGGGGCCTCCCGGTGCGCCTCTGACACCACCTTGAAGGGCGGGCCATGGCTGTGGCCATTCTGCTCCAGGTCCAGAGCCCCAGAGAGGGACTTGGACAGCTTCAGGGGGTTGTCATCCTTGCCTTCCACCTTGATTAGGAGTTTCTCCATCTCGGGCAGGTCCGAGGGAGAGGCAGTGCCTGGATCCTGTGGCGGGGGAAACTGCGATTGCACGGAGTTAGCCATGTCGGCGTGGGCCTCGGGCTGCTCCCGCTCTGGGCTGAGACGAGAGCTCCAGAGGGACCTCAGTGCCCCATTCCTCAGCCCAGACTACAGGCCTATGGATCGGGGTTGGGCGTGTCAGCCAGGGGAGCGAGGGCCAGTCCGGGGCTGGGCGGGTGAGCTTCTCCAGGCCACCTGAGTTCAGAGGCCTGCTGTCCCTGCAGAGTTCCGGAAGCTCAGAGTTGTCAGCTCAGGTCAAGTTTGAAGCCAACTTCTCTGGAGCTGCTGACAGCACAGATGCGTGGGGAAGCAACAGAAAAGAGCTCCAGGAGCAGACAGAAGATGCTCCTCTCCTGAGCAAAGCTTAGACTAAGTCGGGGAGGTTCTGTGTGTATGTGCGTGTGTGTGCGCGCGCGCGCGTGTGTGTGCGCGGGCGCGCGCGCCACACAGCCTCCCGCCCTCCCTCCCCGCCCTCCTCACAGATGCTTTTCCTTTTCCATTCCCGTCTCCCCTGAGACCCGCCCAGCAGCTTTCTGCCTCTGCCCAGCCCAGCCCGGCCCAGCCCAGCGGGACTTGGGCCAGCCTCTGATTTGCATTGCAGCCACAGGACCAGCTCCTCTGGGCTGGGGGCTCTGAGCGGGGGAAAAAGACAAAGTGGGTCAGTAAGGGGTGTGTCTTCAACAGTCCTGGGAAACTGAGACCTCAGCTTCCCTTCTACTGCTGCAGGCTTGAGCTTCCTCCTATCTGTTGGAAACAGAGTCCTGGACCTGTCAATCCCATCTTGACCGACTTCGAACCTCCAGAGGTATCCAGGCCAGAGTCTGGCTCCTGGCTCCAGGCGGGAAGGGGAGACAGGAGCACAAATGTGGCCCCTGGAGGATCCTGCCTGGACCAACAGACCTGAATGGATTTCTGATCAGCTCAGCAAGGGGTGGGGCAGAGGGGTTTCAGGGAAGAAGCTGGCCCCATCTCATGCTCATCAGAGCTGTTCTGCAGTGCTTTTCAAGAACCAGCAAAGATCCTTCTGTTCAGAGCTCCTTGGGGCAGGTGCCGGCTCTAAAGGGCTTCAGTCTGGTTGCCTGTCCTCTCTGTTTCTTGTTCTCGTTGTTCTGTCTTATGTCTCCTCCTGTTTCTGCCTCCTTCTCTGTTATCTACACCTCTTTCTATGCCCCTTATCTCTCTCCTTACATTGTTTTATAAGGGTGATCTGGACCCACTAGGGGTGTGTGTGTCTGTTTTGGAGAAAGGAGTAGGAAAGAGTCTAGAATCCTGGGGTCATGCATGATAGGGGTGGGGAAGTTAGAGGTGGGAAGGGCCACAGAGGTTGTGGAGTTCAAATCTTTTGAAATCACAGATTGAAAACCCAAGGCCCAGAAATGGAGAGATACTTATCTTAAACTGTACTCCAACCAGACATCAGGATCCAGGTCCAGGGGCTGGTGTGGAGCAAGATGAGTCATTTTAGTGGAAAGACATAGCTTTGGGTTCTATATCAAGCTGGCTTTAGAAATGCTGCTTCCAGCAAGGGCCTTGACCAGGTGGAACGGGGAGTGTGACTGACAGAGAGAGTGCAGAACTGGCCTCAGAGGGGAGCAGGGAGATAGTGAGGGGCGGCCTGGGGAGCTCAAAGGGCACCTAGAGGCAAATAAACTTTGAAAATGGTGTATGGCTTTAGAGCAGACTTTCAGGTCTGATGAATTTGGTTACATTAAATTAAGAATTTTTGCTCCATACAGGAAACCTATTGTTATTTGCAAAATGCAGGCCTCCAGGGCAGTGAGACTGATGCTTCCTGCCCTGTATGTGTTTGGGGGAGAGGACTTGCTCCTCACCTCAGTCCTCAGGGAGGCTTTTTCTCATCCAGGCCAGTAGTAAGATGAATGAGTGAGCTGGACTCCTCTGCCCAGAAACTTCCAGAAATGTGCTAGTGCCTTTTAAATATGCGATCTGCAGAGAGTGGCAGGTTGGAAGCCTGAGACCCCTAGACTCTAACTCCATATCCAGCTTGGACAGAATTCCAGCTTCCAACCTGGAAGTTGACCCTTGGGAGGAGGGACTCAGGTGCTCCGCAAACTTACAGCAGCCCAACCCAGGCATAAAGCCTCCAGCCAAACATGGCTAGTTCAAACTAGATGGCTGTCCATACAGAACACACACTGGATTTTGAACACTTAGTATAAAAAAAAAGAATGTAAAACCTTTCATTAATACTGTGTATATTGATTACATATTGAACTGATAATAGTTTGGATATAGTGAGCTAATAAGACAGACTGGCTGGGGGACTTGGGGACCCAGGTTTCTCTGCCACTGAGTTGCTGGGCTCGTGGTGCCAACTGGTGGCCTGGTGGTGATGAGGGGAACGACCAAAGGTGGGAGGGGAACCAGGGCGATAGGGAGAGGCAGTAGGGAGAGGGCAAAGGAGCACCCAGTTTGGGGTCCAGGGCTTGGTAAGCCCAACCCAGCCAGCTGCGCCTGCTCCGGCCTGCAGTTGCCATCTCCCCACTAACCCTCCTCAACTGAGCTCTGAAATGGACACCCATGGGTCATATTCATCAAAGTGTACTTGGCCTGCATAGTGTTCACTCAACATGTGTTTGCTTTAAAATCCACTTCACATAAAACCTGCGGTTTCAGACTTTTAACATGAAGCTATGAGAACCCTAGGCCCATTTTCTTCAGAGCAGCAAATGGCTGGGCTGGCCTTTAGGAGGGGGCATTGAGCTCCTCCTGCAACTCTGCCTTCACATGCCTGCCTGCCTGCCTCCTGGATAAGAGCCGTGAGCTCCTGCAGCTAGCTAGAGAGATGGACGGCCTTTCTGTTCCACTGCTGTCTGGCCTTGCGGCTCTCACAGGCAACTGAAAAAAGTCATTCCCCCGTCCCTCTTCTCCGCTGGACTGTGAGGTCCCAGAGTGGGGCAGGTGTACCCCCAGTGCCTGCACCTAAGGCTTGGTTTGCAGTTAAGGCTGGCTGGATGAGCCCAGGGAAGATGACCCCAGCTGAGTGCCCAGGGCATATCCACACAATCCACCTCTGCTGGCCCCTAACCTTCATGCCCTCTGAGCAGGAAGGATGCTGAGATGTAAACAGTGGAGGGGAAAGTGGACCTGCACACTGAGGGTGTTCCTTGCAGGTGGGGTGAGCAGGGAAGCAATCCTCAGAAGTATAGAGAAGCTGGGGCCTAATCCAAGGGGAAGAGGTAATAGAGTCATCTCAAATCTTTGCCCTTATTACCCTTGGCCTTAGATTGGGTCTTGGGAAACCCCATGGGGCTGACAGGGCAGGAGTCATTCAGCAAATTCCTCTTCTGGTGTCTGAGTGTGCATGCTTGCGTACGTGCACACACATACACACATACACAAAGCACACTTCATCACACTCACCTCAGCAAGCACATCCAGGTTCACATCCAGAGCATCTACTCAGAATACTTCATCCTTGTTGTCCTTGCTCAAAATATGTCCCTACTTCTGTAGAAGGTGCTCAAAGAAGACAAATCTTTCACCTTTAAAAAACAGTTATGAAAAACCTAATGGATATTAACTACATCCCTCCAAATTCTCTCAAGGTCTGTTCGTGTACCTACATGTTTGCCTATAGTTATAATCAGTGGGCACAGACCATTCTGTAATCTGCTTTTCTAACTCACCATTATTTTCACTCTGTTGGGTCACCAGGAGTTTGTCTTGCCATGCCTCCCTGGTTGGGCATTCCAGATCTTCCACTGTCCGGTGCAGTGCCGCCAGAATCACCTTTTTGCAAATTTATTTTTTCTTCTGTATTTCTCCCTTTGAGTATTTTCCTTGTGATTTTGCCAAATTATTCTCTACCAAAAAAGAAAGAGATACACAATACAACTAGAAATCTGTAAGTGTGCCCTTTTCTCCACATGCCTGACAACATTGGGTCTTACAAGTGTTACTTATTTTTACTGGTATGTCTCATTTATTGCTAGAGAGACACGGTAATGGTTCCTGGGGTGGAGGCAGAGTTTAAGAGAAGGAGATGGGAGGCACAGGCTTCTTAAGAGACTGAGTTCCCGAGAGCCTTTATGAGCAGCTCATAAGGGCTGTATGGTTATTATTCTCTGCCTTTAGAAGTTAACCCTCTCTCCTCTTTGAACACTGTTTGAGTGGACTGTTGGTAGTAACCTTATAGGTAAATAATATCTGTCTTCAGGTATATGAGTCTTTTGTATCTTTTGGGCATTTTTTTAACAGCTTCTCTTTCCAGATATTTATTTAATACCTGTCTTTGTATTAACTATTTTTCTCTATATTTGGACACACCTATCTGGTCTCAGTTGATAACTTCTATGTCTTTAATAATCACAGATATGTCTTCTCTCCACAGCAAATCTGTCATCTTGATGAATGGATATGGTCTTAGAAAGCAGATAAAAAAATCAAGCAAAGGTTCCAGAAAATCCAGGAGATACTTAAAGGTATTCTGGCCTAGGATCCCACAAAGCATTGGGGAGAGGCAAGGGGGGGCCTGTTAGGTCAATACATACATGTACGTACACACAGATATTCACATGTCGGCACATCTACGTAAGTACTCACATGATGTGTGCATGTCAAAAAACCTTTATGACAAAAATCTTCTTGAATACTAAGCAAACACATATCACCCTGCAAATATACATGTGTGCGCTCCAAATGGCCCCAATAAGACAATGACAATAAATTATGTGTTGTGGACTTTTGAACACCTTCCCTTGCATTCTCTCTTTACCATGTGAATAGGATATCTCTTAAAAGCTTCCACTCAGTGAGTTGCTTACATGAGCTAGGCACTATGCTAAGTGCTTTAAATGCATTATCTCATTTAGTCTGCACAACAACCTATGATGTAAGTACTTACTTAGCCCATTATATAGTGGTAACACCAAGGCTCAAAGCCCTACGTGATTTGCCCAAGGCTACTCAGCTAAGTGAGGAGGTTAGAAGTCCTTGTACTCCCTGCCGCTGACCTCACGCATATGCGGCACAGTCATACTTGCCTGCAGGGGGCACCCTCGCCATTCCCCAGGCTGAGCGTACAACTAGATGTGAAGAACCCTCAGCATTGTCCATCCCGGAACTTAAGGATGCAGGATTTGCTGGTCATTTTATCATGTTTCCAGACAATAAAAATCTGGGCTGCTTTATGAAAGAATGTTAATCCTTCTATCTACCCCGAGGTAGAATCATCTGTCAGAGGTGTGGAATTAGAGGCTTAGGTTAAGTGACACCATGAGTCACACAGCAACAGGGGGTAGAGCAGAGACTGTATCCCAGGCCAGTCTGGCTCTTTTCTTTCCACTGTCAGACTGTGGCACTGCCTCTCCATGAGAGGGAAGGCTCGGTGGGGAGTCCCACATTTTGCTCCTGGCTGGACCCCATGATCCCTCTGCCACAGAGTCAGAGCCTTCCTGTGATCTGCACTGTAGCTGCCTGCCCTGTGAAACTGGCAGCCCTAAGGCCTGAGGACTGGACACAGGGTGCCATGTGTGCCAGCCAATTTCTTCCTTGCAGAAAGCAAAGACATCTTTAATTTTGGTGATGAGTTTCACTGCAGCTGTTCTGGAATACCCCCACTCTGCCCTGGGTCTATGGGCATCTCTCTAGCTTCCATGGGGTTCCCCATTCTGAGCTGTGTAACTCTTCCCGCAGCTGGCCAGAGCCCAGCTCTCCAAGGAGACCAGAAAGCCCTCAGCCCCGCCCTGGCACATCTGGGTCCTCATCCCAGCAAATAACACCTGTAACATCAGCCTGGTCAGCCTGTGTGAGGCCAGACACCAGCTTGGGAGCACTCATCTTAGAGCAGCTCCCCAGGCTACTCTGGGGGCCTGTCTGTGCCACTTTCTCAGCAGCCTTGGCCTGAGGCCCCACCCTCCTTCCTCTCTTCCCCATACTCTTTCCTGATTCCAAGTCTGTCCCTAATCACAGAGGCCCTGGCCACAGTGGACCGCTCTGCCCTGGGAGCTCCATCCACCTGTACTCCGGAGACAGGCAGGACTTACTCCTCCTCTGGGTCTGGCCCAGACTCTGCTTCCATTGCAGCCTGCACTGTGGCTCACTGTAGACAGCATCTCTGCCGGCCGGCCAGAAATGAGGTTGGCCGTATCCTTAGTCTCCAGGCCCCGCTCCTGCCCTCTCCCACAGTGCCCCTCACAGTGCTCAGCCATATCTGGGGTCTTGCCTGACCAATGTCCCCAGGTACCTACCTGGGCCCACCATTGCACGGTGAGTCCCCAGGCCGCAAGCCCCTCAGGCCTACCTGCCACCCTGGGCCCCTGGGCCCAGTGGAGTCCTCATAGCAGACAGAGAGGATAGATTTTCCTTTTTATTTAGCTGCTTCTGATTGCCTCTCCCAGATCACAGATTTGGGGCATCAGCACAGTCAGCGGGAGGCGACCCCATACTGAGCCATCAGACCACACCAGTTGCCACCCACACTCCCACATACAAGTCTCCCTATCCAAAAGCTCCCGTTCTAAAAAGCAGCAAGAGAAAATAAAACTTAGAGCCACAGGAATGTAAAGGTCACTTTCTGAGAAAAGTTCGTCAAGTCCAAATGTAGGAAAGAGCCCAGCAGGACCCTGGTCTTCTCTCAGAGCTGCCACCCCTGGTTAGGGTTGGGGGCAGGCTGGCAGGGGTGGCAGGGGATGCAGCCCCAGGCCCAAAGTTCCTCCCCATTGACAAGGCTGCCTCTTTCCTCACTCAGGCCTCAGCCCATTCAGGTTTACTCCATCCGGGACGTTTTCTTGCCTTCTTCCCCCTGGTGGTCACCCTGCCATTGGCTCCTCCAGACCCCCCAGTGAGCTTGGTCAGGAGTGCTGGTAGCCCAGCCCGGGACTCGCGTACAAGCGGTCCCTCGGCCAGGCAAAAGGAGCCCCGGGATATCGGCGCCAGCTTCCCACGGTGGCCTGGGCCAAGCCCTGCACCTCGGCCCCCGCTCTGGGTCGTCCCAGGTGCGCGTGCGGGGAGCACGAGGCGCAGCGCGGCGCGAAGGGGCCGACAACTTCCCGGCGCGAGAGGCTAGGCCCCGCAGACGGCGGCGCGGGCCGCGGCAGGCTGGAGCCCGCGGCCCCGGCGCGCGCGGCCTGGCCATGGCACTCCAGGTGCCCACAGGGCCAGCGAGGCGTGGGGCTGGCGCGCAGGACTAGGGAGAGCGCCGTGATGCGGTGGATGGCCCTGCGCAGCGTGGCGATCTTGGAGAGCCTCTTTCCTCCCAGGTCGTGCCGCAGGGCCCTGCGCAGTGCGTTAAACGCCTCATTGTAGTCCAGGATGCGCTTGCGCTCCCGCACGTTGGCAGCCATGCGCCGCGCCTTGGACCGCGCCGGCCGGGCGCGCTTTCTGCTGCCCGCCACCTCTTCTGCTTCGCCCAGGCCGCGGGGGGCGCCATTCTCTCTCAGCACCCCGAAGTCCTTCCCGGCTTCCAGGCAAGAGTCCCCCAAGTCCTCGGCAGCGCCCTCGACCCGCTTCAGGCCCCTGAGGCCTGGTCCTGGCACACCCCGGTGCATGGCCTTCCGCCGCGCCTTGCGGCCCCGGCTCCGGCTCGCGGGGCTGACGATCCACTTTCTGAAAATTGACTACTGCAGGCTGGACACTCCCAGGACGGGCCCTCTTTACCTGGGCTTTATGGCACCACGTGGCTCTCCGCCCCCCCTCCCCCCCCCATCCATCTGCCTCCTCCTGCTTTATTACCTGCCTCCAGGTACTTTGGTGAGGGAGGAACCAGAGGAAGGAAGCAAGGAAGGGAGGAAGCATGCAGATTCTTGTTAGAGGGGGCAAGACGGGCAGCCGGCCACGCCCGGGGTAGCTCTCTAGCCATGCGCCAGGGAGAACTTGCTCTGCCCCACTCCAGGGCCTCTCTCAGGTGGCTGGGTTCCACATTCTTCCTCCCGACCCCAACTAGAGTGCCAAATTTGGCCTCTGGGCAGGAGTGCTGATAGGCGCACAGATGGTTGCAGTGGTAGCTGAATGTTTCTCAAGAACCTTGAAAGTTCGTGTCAAGTCCTGTGGACAACCACAGAGCTGTCATTGAGGAATGCATGACTGTCCTGGTGGGAACAATAAGGGAGAGGCAGATCTGATAGATGAGGGCCCGCAGGCAAGATGGACCTGCAGCTTCCGGCTTTTTCAGCTACCGGAGTGAGGCTGGCTGGAACTGTGGGTTTAGGTTTTGATTAGGCCTTACTCTCTCTCTACCTCCATTGGTCCCCCCTTCTGCAGCAGGGCAGGGCTGAGTCAGCAACAAAGGGTGATGGAGATTGTCCTGTGGCCCTCTGACTCCCCTTGTGGTACCATCAGGTGCAACTTTTGGGGTCCAGGAACCTTTGACAGCCCTGTCTCACGACACAACACTGTCATGTTACCACCTGCCACCCCCAACCCCAGAGATTTGAATTTCAAACAGGGTCTCAGAAAAAGAGTAATACTTAATCCTAGAGAAAGACCCTCAGTGGAATTTCAGGCATTCACAAGTGAGTTATTTGAAGCACCAAAGTCAATCTCATTCCCAGTCACCATCTGAATGCCTCCAGAGAGAGCACCAGGGAGCAGAAGTGAGTGGCCAGTGCCCAACTCTGACCCTGCTGCAGATGAGGGCCAGTAAACTAGGAGTAGCCTGAGGGGACTCAGGATCAGCCTGTACTCACTCCCTGCATGCATGTGTTGGGAAGGGTCTAGGCTTCTTTGCTGCCAGAGTTCTGGATTGAGTGCAGTGGGGCACCAGCCTCTGCAGGGCTGCTATCCTTTCCTCCTCAGGGCTCCCTTTCTGTGTTTAACTCCTTCTTACAATTTAGCAGATCATTTTGTACTTTTATGTTCACCCTAGGCCCACATCTAGATCCCCTGTGTATTCCTAGCACACAGCTCCTAGCACAGTGCCTGGTACATAGCAGCTTCAAGGAAGGATTTGCTGAATGTTGAGTAAATGGTGCAGTCCCTGATATTAAGATATTCATGAAACTCTGGAAATTCCACACTGAGCTGATGAAACAAGTACTATATTCAAACCCAGTAAACATTTCTTGAACATCTACTAAATTCCAAGCCCAGTGCTATAAGTTTTCACATGTGTTGACAGCAACAAACACATTAAATCTCAATATTAAAAGAGAAGGAAGTAAACTTTGTAGTCAGATAGAAATGCTGTAGAATTCCCCACCTACCCAGTCACCTGGTTGGGAGTGGGGGGCTTTAATAGTTGTCAAAGCAACAGTGGTTCTCAAAAGTGGGGTTGTAGTGGTGACAACAGCATCTTAAAACTTCTCAGACCCACCCTAGAGCCACTGAATTCAAAAATTCTGTTTTAACAGCAAAGTGGCTTGAATGCTCTGAAAGATATGTATTTGTTCTTCCAGAGTCTAGCTCAGTGGTTATTAAATTTTACCTTACACAAGAATGACTGTTCTGGGTTAGATACATAATGCCTTGTATACTGTGATATAAGTCTTATTCAAGTATAACTTTTTCTTGCATGTTAACTTTAGAACATCCACACCCATGGGTTGGACGGAGGGAAAATTCATTGCAATGGACACCAAAATTTATCTCAAAAGAAACCAGATAGTCATAGCAAATCAGTCATTCTCTGCTGGCCCCCTCACATGAACCCTCAAATCCACATTAAAACGAGGTGAATAAAGGCAAAGGAAATGCCCAAACAGCTCACGGGTCCCAGTGCCCCGAGAGCCCTTCCTTCCATCTCTTACCCAAAACAGTTCTGGCTTTTCCTTCCTTCACAGGTTTCATTCTTTCCAGGCCGGCTCCCCGCCCCTCCCTGCGCAGGACAAGAACTGCCCCGCGGCACCAAAGCAGTGACTCTGAGACCACTTTCTCTCCTCTCTCTTGACAAATAGCGGGGGCTCCAGAGAGAAGCGCCCCCGCCCTCGCGGCCCCCTGCCCAGGAGTCCCGGGAATCCGAGGGGATTCCGATGCAGCACTGACTGCGATCCCAGGGCGGTGTGGTCGGGGAGCGCCGGTGCAGCCCCGCGGGGGCCTGGCGTTGCCGGGCGCTGGGGGGCGCTGCGGGGCACGGCCGGACTTCAAAGCGGGCCGCTGGGCAAGTATTTCCGCGGCACCTGCAGCGGGGGCCGGTCACGCCGGCCAGGCGGCTGGAATCCGCCTCTGCCCGGAGCACTACTTCTCCGGGCCGGGCCAGGAGGAGGGGCCGCGGCCGTGATTTAGGGCCGGGCGGTTCCGCTGGCAGCCGCGAAGGTGCCTATTACCCCTCGGCCAGGCCTGTTTTCAGAAATTCCTGCTTGCCTTCTGGAAGTTCCGGCGTCTTCCCCCTCGAGGGAGGACAGAACTCCCACCTTGGAGAGAAAGCCCCGGACTAAGGGACAGGCTTTCCGGAGAAACCGAACCCATGGACCCTGAGGACTCGATCATCTCCAGAAAGGGGGGCCTCCAGAAAGGCCAGCAGTCTCCCTTCCCTCTCAAGCCAAGACCCTCAGCATCTCAACTTAGTTTTCCTGTAGGGGAAATTTGGAATCTGGCAGATTGGGGCTCAGTTTCAGGCACTGCTCATTCATCTATTCACTCAACAAAACTGTACTGACTACCAACTGTCCTAGTTACTGGTGTAGAGTAGTGAATAAAAAGCGAGCACCTGTCCTCAGGGAAGTCACCTCTTAGTGTGGAGAGCAAATAATGAGGAAAATAAGTCATGTATGTAGTAAATATGTACTACTAGAAATATATTAGAAGGTGATAAATGCTATAGAAAAAATAACATCAGAAAAGGTAGAAAATGAAGAATGGTTGCGCAGGGTAGGGGAGGTGGAGTCTGGGAGCCCACCTGAGAAGATGACATTTGATTGAGGACTTGAATGAGGCAAGGCAGTGCCACCATCTTGAAGAAGAGCTTCTGGACAGAGGAAACAGCATGTGCAAAGGTCCTGGAGCAGGAGTGTATCTACAAGTTCCAGGGACAGCAACATAGCCAGTGAGGCAGGTGCAGAGTAAGAGGTGAGCTCAGATTGGTGACATGGTCACATAGGCTACTGCAATTTCTTCCACTTGTACTTGACAAGCCATTAAATATTTATTTCCTCCCTCACTTCATGGATCTTTAAAAACAAAAGAAAAACCATTAGCTTTCTCTTTCTCTGCCTGCTGGATAAGCACTCCCTCCACCCCACCCCTCTCTAGGCAGCACCCATCTTTTTGTCTTAATGTCCTTCCTCCCTCCCCAGGAATCCCAGCCTGTGCTCTGGGGGCCTGCCCTCTTCTCTCCTCTCTTGCCTCCACCCCATCTCATCTGGGGACCTTACCTCATCAACTGCCTCTCCCTGGTTTTACAGCTTCCTTTCCCTATCCGCTCGCTCCTTCCTTGGAGATAAAATGTGCTTGGGCTGCTTTCTCTGAGTTAGTCCTTCCTGGAATTAATACCTTCTCTCCTTCCTTTCATCTCCCTGCATCAGTTCTCACCCATCATAAACCAAGTCTGGCTCTTGCCACCCTTAGCCCCCACACTACTGAAACCCTCTTCTCTTTCATTCATCCCCCATGATCTCAGCAAGCCTTTGCTGATCAAGTAAGTTATACATTTATTGGGCACCTACTATTTGCCAGGTCTTGGATTAGGTACTGAAGATACGATAGTGAACAAAAGACATAGTTCCTGACTTCATGGAGCTTGCCACCTAGTGTAGACTACCATTTCATAAACAAATTATTTCAATAGCATGAAACCAAGAAATGTGCAAGATTTGGAAGTGGTTCACAGGCTGGAGGGGTCAGGAAAGGTTTTACAGAGGAGATGATGCCCAGGTTGGGTTTCAAAGGATGAATAGGAGTTTGCCAAACAGACAAGGGCTAGAAGGACATTGAAGACTGAAAGAACAGCATGTGCCAAGGCCTGAAAGTATAAGCCATCATAGTATGATGTGAAAAATACAGTAAATTGGCTTTGCCAAACCATGTATGTGAGACCAGGGAGAGAAGGAAGATGAGGCTGGAGATCACTAGGCATTATGCCAAAACCTTGGATTTTGTCCTGTAGGTAACTGGGGACCACCAAAGGATATTAAGTTGAGGAGTGACACAGTCATATTTGGATTGCAAAACTAGAGCACCTTTGAACAGTGTGGAGAAAGGATCCAAGAAAAACTCCAGTGAAGAGGCTACTGCAAGAGGCCAGGTAAGAGGAGGGGCCCAGGCTATGTAGGTGGTTGTGAGAGAGGGTGGCTGGGGTCAGCGCCTGTTGGCAAAGTAGCATTGGCACATGGGGGTGACCGACTGGATGTAGCAAATGCTGAAAAGGAAAGGTTACATCCCTACATCCTCCTTCAAGAACCCAAGGCCTGAGATTGCTGAGCAGCCCCTAGCAAAGGGCTGTCTGAAGTAGGGTCTGTCTATGAGCATGGAGAAGGCTTAGGAAGAGCAGAGAGCTGAAGGCATCACCTCCTCCTGGGGGGCTGGGACACCTGGGGCACCTGGGGCTTGCGGTGAATGCTTTTAGTTGTCATTGTTATTTGCTACATAGCATTTGCGTAGTCCTCCTATCTGGGGGATGGGGGTGGGGGCAGTGGGCGCCTTCATGGTGGG